GTAACCCAGGTGAGGAGAGGAGGGAGGCAGAACAGTGGGGATGGAAAAGAGCAGAAGGGTTCAGAGAATGGTGCAGGGAGGGCCATGAAGGCAGGCAAGGGAATGAAGGCTGATGGCTCATGTGCCTCGTGGGCAAGAATGAGTAGGTTTTCCAGATCCTGTGGGGTGAGGGCTGTGGCATCCCAGGGGTGAGTTAGGGGAGCCCAAGCTCGGTTACAACAAGGTAGAGGAAGTGGGAGGGTGGGTTTATGGTGGTCACCGGCTTGCGGAGGACACCCTGGCCCTCTGGAAGGGATGGTGAAAGAGAAAAGAGGAAGGGTAGAGCCGTGCTCTTTGGAATATCCACCCTTATCCTCTCTCACTGGGGCCTCTCACCCCTCCAGAAACTCTCCTTCAAAGCCAGCCTTCCAGGAGCTGCCAGGCACTCTTTCGAAAGCACAACTCCATCCTGCCTCTCATCCACCTCAGAAACCCCACTGCCCTCAAGGTAAATCCTTGCTCTTTGGCCTGGTACATGAGACCCTCATGGAAGGATCTCATCTGCTGCCTTCCATCCCACCTCTCTCATCCTAAATCCCCACAAAGCAGAACTACTTATGACCCAAAGGGAATCATGATACATCAGGCCTCTGGGCCTTTGCACGTGCCAACCCCTCTGCCTGGAATACCTTTTTCATCTCCTGGGCCTAGAAAATGCCAAGTCTTTCAAGTGAGAATCAACTCCTTGGAGAAGCTTTTCTGACTCTGTCAAGAAGTCACGACCGCCCCTTTCTTTGTTCCATCAGTCTTCTTCATCTACCTTATCTTATAAACCTGTCTCACCCACTAGACCAGGAGCTCCGTAGGAAGATAGTGTGATAGTCATTTCTCTAACCTCCATTCCCAGCCCAGGGCCTGGGATACAATAGCAGTTAATATTTATGAATAACATGACAAAATTATAGCTAATAATAAGAGCCAGCATGTACTAATTACCCACTGTGATTCCTAGCACTGCGGTAAGCTATTGAAATGCGTTACCTTATGTTATGCCCCTAAGAACTGTGGTGGGTCAGATAATATTACTATACCCATTTTACAGATGAAGACACTGAGGCTCAGGGAGGTGAAGTGACTGGCCCAAGGACATTGAGCTAGCTGGTGGTAGAGATGGACTTTAAACTCAAACAAGGCTAATTCCAATGTCTGTGGAGTGGACTTAACCACTCTCCTGCATTGCCTCCATGAAAGGGAGGATGACAAGATCTCATCAAACAATGGGGTCATGGAAACTAAGGTTTGTGGGGTGGGGGAATCTGCAATAAATTGACAATAACAAAGCCATCTTTTCTTTGAATAACAGTGTGATTAGCAGCACCGTTGGTTGCCTACACAAAAGCCCATTTCCACTTCTTCAGTGCTGTCAGAATTCTGCTTTTGTCTGTGAACACCCTTCCCCACATAATTCAGGAAAATCTGGACTGGTTTAAGCTAATTTTAGTAGCATCATCCCTCTTATCTGTGATTTGTTCAGTGGTGGGCATATGATCCAGTTAGCTTCTTAAAAATTTTTAGAATTGTGACAAAATATACATAACTCGAATGCTATCATTGTAACTATTTTAAAGTGCCACTTAACTAACTCTTTAAAAAGAGACAGCTTTACTGATTGCTGGACTTGGTTGAAGATGTAGTGCCTGGAGTTGTGGCAGCCATCTTGTGATCATGAGGACAGTGGCCAGCATACTGATGATGGTAGAATGAGGCTATAGGAAAGAAGCTAATATGGTTCCTCAGCTGCTGGATCATTCCTACCTCAGCTCTTCCTGATACATGAGATAATAAACCACCCTGCTGTCTAAGCCATTTTGAGTTGGTCTTCCATTACTTGTAGCTGAAAGTTTATTGATACTGATTCTGCAAGTGGTAAAATAGTTCTTGCCTGACATAGAAGATGACATAAAACATAAGGAACTTCACTAATTTCTGGAAGCTACTGCCCTGGCTTGGGTCCATTGACCTTTGGTCTTCTAATGAGAATGATGATGTTGGTCTGGGTGAGCAGTAATAGTGACCTGGGACATGATCTGAAGAAGCTTGCAGGATCTACAAAAGATAAAACCCTAGCCGTCTAGGGTTCCAATTTACCAAACATCAGTAAATATGTCCATGGGATTATAAGGCTGAATCAGACACAGTCTTTGCCCTTAAGAGGCTCACACTGCAGTAGGAGAGATGATTGCAGGCGAGTGATGAGTGATGTAAAGGTCTACACGAGGTCCAGAGGCTGACATTCAAGGTGTGATAAGAGAAGGATCAGAGAAAAAGATATTTCTAGGCAGAATAACCAGCACACGCAAACTCAGGGCATGAACATAACTCTTTCAGGGAAATTACAAGTCATTTAGCATACTGGGAACCGAGCTGGCTATTTAAGGGTCGTGTATCTCTGAGCAAATTCCTTGATGTCTCTGAAGCTCAGAATTCACATTTATAGGAAAAAGAAAAAAAAGTAAAATGGTTGGAAAATTAGGTAACAGAATTTACATGCAAACGTAGTACTTGGCATATATTAGGTGCACAAGAAAAGCTCTTTATTATTCATCCGTTTTTGTCACCTGGTTCTAATTCATTATCTTCTCTGACCCAGGTGGCTTTCTTCCCTTTCTCACTCATTCCTGAGCCTAGTAGCGAGGCCCCCCAACTCCCACAGACTTTTCCTCAGGCAGGAAATCCGACCCACTGCCTGGCCTGGGACAGCTTCTAGGGCTGGGTGGTTTGTGTTATTCATTCTCTTCTCTCTCTCTCTCTTTTTCCCCTAAATGCAACAAAATAAAACCAAACAAAAAGCCCAACGCCTGGCGTGGCTTGTCAGGGAGTTATGCAAGTGTGTAAAAAAATAAAATAAAATAAACATTGAGTTTTCGGCATTTGGGGCTGTTTGATTAGGCACAGAGCAGAGCCAAGGG